CTTGGCGAAAGGTGGTCAAGGTAAATGACATTCTTTTCTATCAACAACTTGGAGAGAATTAAACAACCCAGTGTTAAAGGAGGAGAAAGTCGATTGTCGACGTGTGAATAGAAGGAAGCATACAAGTCTCGAACCAAATATGGTCATGACAGCTTCATATAATGACAGTTTTACATCAGCAATGGCTCATCTCTGACTGCATACCTGCAGATGCATTGCTAAACATCCGATCACCTGATAGTTTTTCCCAGGCTAAATCGATAAAAGGGAGACGAGAACTCAAGTCGTGGTGAACTACATCGGACACCATACATAGGCCATACATCTCCAGCCACCCTGTTCCAGCAGACATCTTCAGAACGTCATAGCCAGTTGACATATCCCAAGATGCAATACAGAACAGACTCCTTCCAAGGCTCCCTCCTTGCCATTAATATAGAAGATGACTACTCAAATCACCTTGTAAGAAAAGAAGACATATCGATCATGGCTCAACCTCCACAAAGACTGAAAACCACATCTCTCTCTGAAGTATTTTTGTAAACTCTCTCTCTCAAGAGTGACTAGCGGATCAAATGCGAACGGAGCGCATAGATATTTTTGTCATGTTGCCTTAGATGTATATTTCATATTTCTGCATACTCTTAGATTTAGACATTTATATTAAACTTATATTTTTACTTGTTAACCTGGCTACCTGTCACTATCAAACCTGGACACTTATTGACTTAATCACTGACCTCCCCACTTGATTATTTAAGACCCTCCTATTTTGAGCCATCCAGTGACCCCAAGACAGGTTTAACTAACCTGAGGTCAATCAAGGATTAGGACCCCTACCCGTGGCTGTAATCTCACACTTACCTCTTGTACCAGATTATTTAGAATTTAATTTAAAATAATAGCAGTAAAGTAACCCAATTTAATTCGGTAATTGTTTGGCATATTACTAAAACATTCGGATTCAAGATATTTATATACTTCAAAAAAATATACAGTCGACCCCCCTATAAGATCATTGATTTTTCCGTTTTATCTGAATTACATGTTGTACGAGTCACTTAGATTTTACAAATACGTGTGCCGGGCTGTGAACGGCTCACATATTTGTAAAATCTAAGTGACTCGTACAACATGTAATTCAGATAAAACGGAAAAATCAATGATCTTATAGGGGGGTCGACTGTAAA